ATGTAGATCTCCTCCTCTGTAACCGACTCTGTGTAACCCTAGCCCCTCCGGTGTCTATATAAACCGGAGGGTTTAGTCTATAGGACCAACAACAATCATAATCATAGGCTAGCTTCTAGGGTTTAGCCTCTATGATCTCGTGGTAGATCAACTCTTGTAATACTCATATCATCAAGATCAATCAAGCAGGAAGTAGGGTATTACCTCCATCGAGAGGGCCTGAACCTGGGTAAACATCGTGTCCCTTGCCTCCTGTTACCATTAGCCTTAGATGCACAGTTCGGGACCCCCTACCCGAGATCCGCCGGTTTTGACAGCGGGCGGCACCCACTTGGAGGAAGAACTGCTTGACGTAGCGGTCTAAGGGTGGCGCCTGTGAACCATCGAGGAGGGCTGCGACAGCGTGGGCTGCCGGCGCCGCGAGGCGCGCGACAAAGAGGTCGCGCAGCTCCTCCCAGGAAGCCACTGAAGACCCTGGCAAGTTGAGCAGCCAGGCGCGCGGCGCGCCCGCGAGGGCCATGGGGAGCTAGTTGGCCATGACCTTGTCGTCGCCGCCGGCCGCCGAAACTGCCTCCTCGTATGCTTGGAGGAAACCTGTCGGATCTGCCACGCTGTCGTAGCGGGGCAGCAACTCCAGCCTGAACTTGGGTGGCCACTGCACCTGCCGCAAGGTGTGGGCGAAAGCTCGGAGGCCCTCGGCTCCTTCGAAGGCGCACGTTGATATGGTCGATGGAGGAGCGTCCGCCATGAGAGCCGACAGCGGAGTGCAGCGGACAGAGTGGCGGATTTTTGACGCACCCCTACGTGGCGCGCCAAATGTCGAATTTCCGGTTCCGCAAACCTTTGAGAGGTTTGAACTCTGGGGTGCGTGTGAAGAACTCAACCTTCCAAGTCTGCCTACTCGTCAATCTCACAGCCTAGCTCGTCGAACTCAAGGGAAAGGGGACACAACAGTTTACCCAGGTTCGGGCCACCTTGCGGTGTAAAACCCTACTCCTGCTTTGTGGTGGATTGGCCTCGAGGGGTTGAGGATGAACTAGTACAATGGAGAACTACCTCAGAAGGTGTGTTCTTGAGCTCAAGTGAGTTGGTGAGCTGGTCAGGGTGGAATGGATCTGATCCCCTCTATGGTGATGACTAGATCCTATTTATAGTGGCCTTGGTCCTCTTCCCAAATGAAGGCGGGAATGGATCCCACAACAGCCAAATTTGAAGGGAGACAACTAGTACATCTTATCCTGACAAAAGTAGTCTTCGCATGCAAAAGCCTCTGGTCGTGACGCCGCGGTGGGCTCGGTGATGACCTCCGTCCTGGCGGTCTTGGTCTTGTTGCATGGGAATGGGAACCTTTGGCTGATTCCTCGAAACTCCGCACCTGCGCTTGTCTCCTTAGCACCAAAGAGAAAACGGGTACACTGTGCCCACTGGCGCCCGCCTGGCCTTGGTCGTCATGGCTCACGTTACCCGAACCTCGTGAGGTGAGGCTTGTATGGAAATCTCCGCTCCTCGGGAGCCAGCCTGAGGAGGCTGCTCATTTTGGAGGTCTTGATGCCGTCCGTGCCTCACGAGGCTCTTGAGTTGTCGATGTCGAAGCTAGGCCGTACCAGGTCGTTGATGGAGCCACGCCGTGGGCCGCAGGCAGGCAAGTCTAGATACCTCCGTTCCCAGAACACCGAGCCCCCACTTTATAAGTTATATGTAGAGAAAAGGGTAAGGGGGATGTAGATAGCTCTAAGTCTTCGGGCATTATTTTGTATACGCAATCTAACTGCAATTGTTGAAGTGATGATCGGGTGTCCCCTGAAACACATGAGTTATATAGGACGTCCTCTGTTATATAATGTAGTGTATTTTTCTTTTTTAAAATTTAATCATGTCTATATTTGATCAAGTTTACAACATAAACTTCAACGTATAAAATAATTAATAATGACACTTCATGATGAATCTAATTATACTGGTTTGGTATTGTGTATGTTGATAGTATGTTTTCTTCAAATTGGTTAAACATAGATATATTTGACTTTCACATGAAAAAAATATGCACTGCCTTGCCTTGTGAAACGAATGGATTACGGCGAGCCAAACTGCACTCATGAGTCGGGAAAAAACGTCGGGCGGGTTGTGCCCGTATTGGGCTAAATTTCGTGTTTTGACCCTTTTGCAATACAAATTCAGGATCTGACCCCGGCTAGGGAAAAAATCGGGATTTGACCCTTTTGCTACCGCCAGGGGATCTGGCGGTAGGATTAGACAGCCTACCGCCTGGGTCCCTGGCGGTAGGCGAGAGATGCGGTCCCCCAACTGTACCCTGCATCCCAGTCGGCTAGGAAGAACAGATACGACCAGTTGGCAGAGTCCTCGGATGCGTCTGGAAACATGACCTCCGTGAGAAGATACCACAGGTAGGCCCTCGCGTACCACTCCAGAGTCGTCTCATCAGCGTCTTGGGGGCATGTCTTCCGGTGCTCCGAGAGCCAGGGCAACGACACACCGAATGTACGGTTACCCTTAGCCTCGGGGCAGCCGCCGATGAGGGTGGTACTCCTGCCAGTTGGTCCTCTCCACTCGCCCGGTCAGTGCATGGCCCTCGATCGGTATGGCAGTAATCATCGACCAATCCTCGAGGGTCACCGTCATCTCTCCGCATGGGAGATGGAAAGAATGGGTCTCCGGTCGCCACCGATCAATCAAAGCTGTCAGAGCTGCGTGGACAAGCGTCGGCGGCTGACGCTTGAACTGCAACATGAAACCCAACAGTCGGGCTCTCTTAAAGAACGGCGCGTAGCACTCATCGTAGTCCATATGCCCTTCAACCCCGTGACCCCTCATGCGCAGTGGCTGGAGCATCTATCAAAAAGTGAACGCCAAAAGTTAGGAAATTATTTTCATCAATCCGAAAACTTTGATCAATATTTCATTCATATCACTTACCTCTCCGTTCTCTATGAAACGGGCACGATGACCCTTCTCGAATGCCCAGTCCAGCATGGAGTACCGTGGGCCGATGTTGTCCGCAAGAGGTGGCCGGCTTAATAAAATTTCATAAACAAAAACATCATAAGCATAAGCATACATAAACATGCATCATATCAAAATCATATCACCATGCATCATATCAAAAAAAATCCTCCACCAACATCTACTACACATGGTGGATCAAATCATATCAACATGCATCATATCATCAAAAAACCTCCAACATGCATCATATAATCGTATTTTTAAACAAAAAAATCCTCCAAGATGCATCATATCATCATATTTGTAAACAAAAAAAGTCCTCCAACATCTTCACATCATCATATCAACATGCATTATAAAACTACAATCAAGTCCTCCCACATGCATTACATCATAATTTTTTATGTTAAAAAATTATGAACTAGGGTTCATCTTCACACTAACATATGAACTATTGATTAGAGTTCATATTCAATACCACTATTTACTAAAGAACTAAGAACTAGAACTACAATCAAGCTAAAACAATCTTAGGTAAAAAAAATCCAATCTAAGTTCAAAAATATGAGGGATTTCAAGCAAATAATGCGTCGAATTGGAAGCAAGTTTGCAAAAACTAATTGGAGGGATCGGAGGAGCTTACGTTTCTCTCTTCGAGGCCATCTCGATCCACCAAAACGGTGAAAAATCGGTGAAGATCTGAGGGGGAGAGTGGAGGAGATGCGAGAGGGAGATAGGGGCGACTTGGGGGAGAAAGAATGAGAAACTGCCGACTGAGGAGGGGGAGGGGTGGAGAGATGGGCAGGGGCGCAGGGTCTAGGACGAAATAACTGCCCGGACCCTACCGCCAGGGGCCCTTGCGGTAGGGTTAGACAGGCTACCGCCAGGCGCCCTGACGGTAGGGTGCGACGGAGGGGGACGACGGCCGTTTCCGCGTGCTGACGTGAATTAGTACCCTACCGCCAGGGACCATGGCAGTAAGAAAAAGGTCAAATCCCGAATTTTTTTCGAACCCGAGTCAGATGCTGAATTTGTATCAAAAAGGGTCAAAACACGAAATTTTGCCCCCGTGTTGTCCCCGTCGAGCTGTTAGGTGAGCCAAGCAAGAAAAGAGAGAAATACTCCACGTGCCCATGCGTGCACACACGACACGCCGCGCGCTTGTTACCCTCGCCGTTCCGATGCGTCGGGCCCACACATCTAGGAGTATCTCTCATCCCAGGCGCTCGCGTGTCGACTGTGGAGTTCGGGAGAGAGGCCGAGGCGACCGCACCACTCTTGAAAACATGACCAGCTTGCCCCTGGGCACACGCGGTAAAATACGCCCAGTGCCCCTGGTGCTCCTCTGTCGGCCTGCCGTACGGACGGGCCCGCATCGCGACGACGCATCCGACGGGCGCCGCAGGTCCACGCCACCCCACTTGCTCTCCGGCATGTCAGAATCTATTTATCACCGCCCGGTTACCTACCCATCACCCGCCCCCGCTGCCTCCGACCTGACGGCAACGAAACTTTATCCCCTGGACCCGCACGTCAGCGTGGTGGGGTACGTAGGGGTACCGCGAAGTGGTTGTAGATATTTACCGCTCACGTGAAGTGACCAACACGCTCCGCTGACGCGCGGGCCCGTGGCCAGCTGGAGAGCAGAGCAGCAGCTGCGCGGCTCGCCCGCCAAGCCGGAAGCAACTTTGCACCGGGGGCACCATCGTTGTCGTAACTGACACACAGGGCCCACATGGTCACGGGCCCCGCAGGTCCGTGGGCAGTGGCGCTCAAAGAGATGGCAAGTTTGCATAAATACCCCTGCCACCGCGCGCTTCACGCCTCCCTCTTGCACACTCTTTTACACTTCACCCATTCCACCCTTCTCTGTTTACAGGTGGAGATAGAGAGAGAAGCGCCGAACCCCATCCAATCCTTTCTCTCTCTAAAACCCTCCCAAAACCACACCCAACCAACAGGGGAGCTCCGCCAAATCCGTTCGTCCGTTGCCAGCTGATGAAATCGGGGCTTGCCGCGGTCGACTCTCCTCGGTGATGGACGGTTGCTGGCGGCTCCCTGGAGGCCACGGCGGCGCCGCCGCCGGCCGCGTCGTTCGCGTGCACTTCCTCGACGCCGATGCCACCGACGACTCCGACGAGGAGACGAGCCAGCCTCAGCGATACTGCGCGCGACGGTGCGTGCGGCAGATCGGCCTGCCGCGCGCGTTCTCTCATCTTCCGTCCGCTGCGGCGGGTGCGGTGAGCAGCTCCTCCCACTGGACGCGCGAGAAGAGGTTGAGGGCGGCCGCGGCCGGCAAGACGCGTACGTTGGCGGCGTGCGGCGGGGATGATTGGTCCGCGGGGGCTAGGGCGGCCCGGCGATTGCGGGGCGTGCGTCGGCGGCCGTGGGGCAAGTATGCGGCGGAGATCCGCGACCCGAAGCTGGGGCGGCGCGTCTGGCTTGGCACCTTCAACACCGCCGAGGAGGCCAAGTCCGTCTATGACTCCGCCGTGCTCCGCCTCCGCGGCCCGAGCGCAGTCACTAAGTACACCGCGCCCTCCCCCTCGCCGCCCATCTCCACCGTGACGGCGTCCGCCCCGTCGCCGTCGACATCCGCGGCCTCTCCCCCGTCGCCCTCCACCACGGCGGCCCCTCCTCCGTCGCCCTTCGGCAGGGCGGCCTCTCCCCCGTCGCCCTCCACCATGGCGGCCCCTCCTCCGTCGCCCTTCGGCAGGGCGGCC